CCGTGCAGACCTCACAAGGCAGCTGCTTTGGTTTCTGAGCCTCAGCCTGCCACTCTGAGAGAACATGGAAGAAGGAGAGAAGTCAATGAGAGAGGAAGGCTCCTGATGGGCAGTGAACACTGGGACTGAGACGGTGTGAGGTGAGTTGGGGAGGGGAACACATTCTCTTCTCTCTCAATGTCTCTTCACTGGTATCTCTGATAGTCAGCAGGTTTTTCTAACGTTGCCCTTGTCTAATGTCAAATGTCTGATGTTATAAAAAACTAGGGCTATACCTTATGAGTGTGTGGAGGGGGGTGAATGTCAGTCCAAGCATGGGATGGAATAATAAGACATAAAATCAACCCAGAAAAACCATAGGAGTCAAAACAACCAAACCAACCTTAGGCTAATACAGCTTATAATCGTAAACATAGGGGTCACACCTATAAATCCCTTTATTCATTTTAGCCTTCTAGCCACTCTTTCATGTCTGTTTTCTGTTAATACTGATCTCCACATGCTAGAAGAGATAAGAACATAAAACCTCATTTCTTCTGGAGCAATGTGTTACGTCTGCCGAGCGGCCTGTGTCCGAGAACGTGCGGAGGGTGTCGGGTATTGAAAACACAGAGACTCGTTCAATGATATAAAGAAAACTTTAAACAGGCTCCAAAAAGGTTCACAAAAAACTTCCTAAGAAAGGCTCCCACCAGAGAAGCTTCTGCTCTCTCCTCTACCCTGGCTGGTTCTGCTCTGACACCAGAGGTGGATGTGTGTGGGTTTTTGAAGGTGCGGTTAGTCTCTGGACAAGGTCGAGGTCAGGGCGGTTTCCGTGGGAAGGCCTTTCCCAGGAATTTATTGTATCATTTTTAGTAAACATGTTTTTACTAAACATTGTCTTACAGCTGCCTACTCCCAGGCAGAAGGGGAAGTGGCCAGGAACTTATTGTATCGTTTTTAGTAAACATGTTTTTACTAAACATTGTCTTACAGCTGCCTACTCCCAGGCAGAAGGGGAAGTGGGTCTCTGCTCAAGGTCTGGTGTTCCCACAGCAATGTAAAGGAAAAAGAATTCCTTTGAATAATTATTCTCTCTGTGTGTGTCTGTCTGTCTCTCTGTCTGTCTGTCTCTCTCACACATACACAAACACACACACACACAGTTAAGCATGTACAAACAGGCAGGCACGTGTTACATATATTTAAAACCCACCTAGGGAAGAAAACCCATTTTGGAACAAAGAAGGAAGCCTTTCTGGGTCAGGCAGGAGTGCCCAGCTCCTAAATGGGATGATGACCTCACATGACCATGGCCTCTGTGAGAAAACGTGCCTTCCCATCTACTCCACACATCTTCCTACCACTCCCCCCCCCCCCCCGCATTGACCTTGAGACAGAACAATACAAATTCTATCGAGGAATATAAGAGAAAGAAAGGCATAGTCCTTCACCTGCAGTCTGTGTGGGGCTATCCCCAACACACTACATCCTGTTTCAAGAGTCAAAATATGGAGTTAGGGAATCGGCATGTGGCATTACAAGCATTTTGCAGAAAAGAATGTGGTTATTGTGAAAATTAAGTTGCTTGTGTGAAAATTAAATTGCTCATATCCCTTATTCTACACTCACAATAACCCTGGGAAGTGAGTATTAGGACCCAACTTACAAAGAAGTATGTGTGAGCTACATAAGCAGCAACAGCATCGATGCCAGCAGCAGCCAGTGCTCAGAGGGATCCGACCTCCTGCGGACACTCCCAGGAGTTCACCACTTAATGCTCTCATTTTTGGAGGCAAGGAACCTGCAGCTGAACCTGCCCAAGTTACATAGCTGGTAATTAGTGGAGCTTGGTCTGGAACCTAACCAACTTGTCAAGATCTTAACCACGATGCTTTGATCTGGATAAAACCTGACAAGGACAGTCAACTAGATCAAAATAAAAATATGAAAGTGTGTGAACTCCTAGACTTTTTAATTTGCCTCATTGGAGAGGAGGGAGGGGAAAAGATTTCCTACAGAGATCCCCACAAGGATGATTACAGCTGCAGGAAGAATTCCATGCTGTCTTGAGAGCCTCTGGGCTGTCATGACGAGGTAGGATTGCCACTGGCATCTAGAGGGTACAGTAAGGTACAGCACTAAGAGTTCTACAATGCACAGGACATCACTACCTGCAAAGGATTGCCCAGCCTCCAATATTGGTGTTGGGGCTGAGAAAGCCCACTGCAGAATAGCTGTGAAGATTCCAGTTGTAGCCGAAGGGTCAAGTTTGTGGATCATGTTTCCTATTGCTCAGCAATAAGATGAAGATAGTAGACCAGGTTCCCTCCTAATATAAAATCTGAGATCTTTGAGACATAAAGCAAGCTGTGCTTACAAAATACCAAAACTTCTCATTCCCTTTAGGGGAAAATCTTAAATGCACCTGAAATCTTATTTTTATTTTAGAGCAAGGTCAGCAGATCAGGGGACCATAGGCAAGTCGGTTTACTGCTCACATTGCCCAAGAGGAGGGAACACACCATGCCACACAGGGCCACACCAGAAAGCACTGTATGATTGATCAGGAATCAGAAGGAGATAGCAGAAAGTATAGACAAACTCTTCCTAGTTTGTTGTTACTTTTGGGTTGAAGCAAATTCTTGTGTATCCCAGGCTGACCCCAAACTCACGGTGGAGACAAAGACGACCTTGAGCTTCTCCTGTTTCTACCTCCCAGTTGCTGGCCTCACAGGTGTGTGCCACTGTGTCTGGTTTGTGCACTGCTGAAGATCAAACCTAGGGCTTGTGTGTGCTAGGCAAGTACTCTACCAACTGCACTATAGCCCCATTGACTTTTCCTCAGTTTTGTTTGTTGGCTTTGCTTTGTTTTTCTCTAAGAATGAATGAGCAAGGTAGGCAAGTCATTGGCATGGTTCAAATGATTTGGGCTGGCTCTGGGTACAAGTATCATTTATAATTGCCCAGAATCTTGTCCTAGGGTCATCTAAGATAAGAAGATAGGTAACCCAGACTGTCACCCCCGATACTAGAAAACTATGGGCTGTTGACTCTAGGATGGATGGTTTGCATATAAAAGGCATGCTGGCAGGCAAATTGTTAGGAATTAGCCCTGAGAGGCATCATTTATTTTGACTTAGTGCTGTCAGCAATGGTTGGTTCTAACAGTGGTCTTCTGTGCTCTACTCCTGAGACAGGCTTCAGAGTAGACCCTGGGATCCTGGGATAGTCAAGCTCAGAACTAGTTTGAATTGGATGAGATCTTTGTGCCTAGCTTGGCTACCCTAAGAATGGTGAGGTTGAAGCCATAAACAGGGCCCCTTTGCAGAGCTGAGGGAAGTACCATGGAGAGCTGCTTCCTGCTCCTGTTTCTTACTGTCTTACTGTGGGATAGTCTTGGCTTCACCAGCAGTAGTACCATGCTGAGATTGGGCTAGGATCTAGTTAATGGGATCTCCCATCACAGCAGTCTGTGACAAGAATGGTGCTATATCTCAGTAGGTACAGTGCTTGCCTGGTTTGCAAGAAGCCTGGGTTCCATCCCTTGCATCAGGGCACATGCCTAGAATTTCACCTGGCATGTGAAGGCAAGAAATCAGAAAAGTTCCAAGTCATCCTTTGCTACATAGTGAGTTTGAGGCCAGTCTGGTTGCATGACAATTAATTATTAATTAATTAAATTTAACAACCAGCAAGCCAGCAGTCATGGAGACTAGATTCAGGGACAAGATACAATCACTCAGATTGCCACCCAGCCCTGGTAGTGATTCTCACAGGAGTGTTGGTTGAACTTAGGCTATCATCTTTCACATTTATCACCCTGCCTGCCAGGGTCCCAGAGACACATCTGCTGACAGTAGTGGTCTCTTACATCCACAGCACCTTCGTGGAACTCTGGGTGGTTCCTTTTGTTTTCCTTCAGTCATTCCACTCAAGTCAAGACTGCAGCAGGGTAGGATTCAAGGGATACAGGATGCTGGGAACATGCCCTGGTAAACAAAGGAATTTGCCTGCAGGGGAGCTAGCCTATCTAGCCTCATCCTAGCATCAGACATTGGCTTGACCTCATTCCTTCTCTAACCTCCACAAACTGCCTTAGAGCGACTTGTTTCCCATCATAACCTCCCTGAGCTCTTCTCTGAGACTGGAGCTCACCTGAATGAATGCGGTCTGAGGGCTGAGGATCTGGTGTCTCCCAAGAGAAACTACCGCTGTTTTCCCTGTCCCTTATATTCACAGAGCCAAATGGGCATCAGAGTGCCGCAGGGACTCTGAGTACTGAGACAAGACTCATGAAACTGTTGAAGATCAGAAAATAACAGTATTAAGATGACCACATGTTGTCAAAGCTCATAGACAGCAATCACCACACCAGAGCACTAACACCCAAATGTGAGTTTCTTGGTGGCCAGGACCACACAGAAAGTGTGGGGCTGGGTATTTTTGACAGGTGACAAAATTCCCTTTTCAGCTACACCCAACAACTCTGGCTTGTAAGAAAAACAAATCACACAAACCCTTCCATCAACAAAGTGTTTAACCGTATAATTCACACATGTGTGGATCTAGCCCTTGAATCAGTCATACGTTTGTAAAATATTTTTCTGTGTGCATCTGTTTGTTTAGAACTGAAAAAGACCAATAACTATGTGTATTTCATAAGTGGAAGGGGCATGCTGTGATGTGCTGGGGTTTTTCCTAGCATCCTTGTTTCCTTTGTGGGGTGGGAAGTTAAACTGTTAGCCTGTAGTCTTTCTTCTTTCACAGCATACGTTTGGAGTGGTATATTTCTCTCCGAACACTGTTTTCACTACAGGCTAGGTTCTCAATAGCGGTTTTCCTATGAAGTAATGACCCTATAAATACTGGCAAGTACATTAATGACTAGGTGTATCTGCTGCCCCTTCCACTCCCTGGGCAGTCTCTTGGGCTCTCTGGGTCTACTTTTCTCACCTCAGCCCTTCTCCCTCGCTCTGCCACCGGTGAACGTGTTCTTTTTCCCCACAGGGGAAATGGAGATGGGCAGCAAGGACTGGAATTATTCCACCTCTGGCTTTGTCCTCACCAGCCTTTTTAACAACAGCCAAACACACCTTTTTCTGTTCAGCATGGTGGTGTTGGTCTACACGCTTGCAATGGCGGGCAACACAGCCATGGTCCTTCTGATTTGGATGGACACCCGACTACACACACCCATGTACTTCCTCCTCAGCCAGCTGTCCCTTCTAGATGTCTTCTTTACCTCAGTCACTGTCCCCAAGATGATAGTAGGCTTTCTCTTCGGTTGGACAAGCATCTCCTTTGGGGGCTGTGGGGCACAGATGTTTTTCTTTATGTTCCTGGGGGCTGCGGAGTGCCTCCTGCTGGCCCTCATGGCTTATGACCGCTATGTGGCCATCTGCAACCCTCTGCGCTACCCAGCGCTCATGAGCCGACGGGTGTGCCTGCTCATGGTTGTAGCCTCCTGGCTGGGAGGATCCCTCAACGCTTCCATTCAGACTTCTCTGACACTGCAGTTCCCCTACTGTGGCTCTCGGAAGATCTCCCACTTCTTCTGTGAGGTGCCCTCTCTGCTGATGCTAGCCTGTGCAGATACAGAAGCCTATGAACAGGTACTCTTTGTGACAGGCGTGGTGGTCCTCCTGGTGCCCATTACCTTCATCACCACCTCCTATGCCCTTATCCTGGCTGCTGTGCTCCGGATGCATTCTGTGGAGGGGCGTCAGAAGGCCCTGGCCACATGCTCCTCCCACCTGACAGTTGTCAATCTCTTCTACGGGCCCCTTGTCTATACCTACATGTTACCTGCCTCCTATCACTCACCAGGCCAAGATGATGTCGTATCTGTCTTTTACACAGTTCTCACACCCATGCTTAACCCTGTCATCTACAGCCTCAGGAACAAGGAAGTAACAGGGGCAATGAAGAAGGCAATGGGAAGGTGTGGAGTCAGTAGGAACGCATGACACCTGAGAGAGGCCTGGGAGACAAGCACCTCAGCTCTAAGCATCATCACCTGTACTGAATGCTGAGGCAGGGAGACATGTCTATTTGAGAAGAGCCTCCATGTCTGTAACTTCTGGTCTAGGACTCTTCCATGGGCCAGGAAGTCAACACCCAAACTCATCGCTCCCTTCCAGCTACTGCTTTCTTTCTTCAGAGACTTGTCTACCCTGGCTCTGGTCCACCTCAGCAAACCCCAGGCTTCTTTGTGGACCACAGCAGGAACCTATCCTCTCTGTATCACTAAACATCTGAGATCATCCCCTCCAGCCCCAGTAAAATTCAAAGACCCACAAATCCCCTCATCCCTAGCTGTTTTGTCAACCTTCTCTACTGGCACCATGTCTCCAACGATGCTGTCCTGGCTGAGCACCCTCAGCACAGTCCCTCAGAAGAGTCCTCTGTGACCAGAATGGCACCTGACATTTTCAGATAGCTCTCCCATCTCTTGCTTAGAAACTGCTTAAAGCATCAGAGATACCTGCATTGTTTATCCCATCCACAGTGGCCTCATCCATCCCACCATCCTCCCTGCATCCTATTTTTGGATTTGAGGTCTCTTCCCCCTCCCCCATTAGATTGTGCAGACCCAGAAGGCACAGGATTTGATTCTTTAATACCACATTGTCAGCTTCTAGGAGAAGCCTGAAACATGTGATCAATACTAAATGTTGGATGGATAGAAAACTGCAAAAAACATTTTTTGCCTGACCTCAGTTGCACTGGTCCTATTTCCAGCTTCTTGGAAATTGTTTGTGCCTCAACAATGGCTCTATGTCCCTGAGTCTTTTCCTTCCGGCATAGTCTTTCCTATTAAATGATAAAGGTCTTTAAAGCACCCTGGCCTAGACCTTCCTCTTCCCAACACCCCCACCCCCATCTAAGGCCATAGCTTCAGACATCGCCTGGCTCCATAGTTAGCCACACATATTTACAAGTCAGGAGGATGTCCCCTCCCCCTCCCTCAGCACACATGCTACCTCAGCACACCTCAGCACACCTACAGACTACTTCAGAGACATTTCAAATTCATCCTTCCATGGAGCCCTGGGGTCTGACAACCTGCTCTCCTAACCTGTCCTCCCCACTGCTTCCTGTTAGCAGAACTCTATCAGGGAGGCTGCTTCCCCACTGTAATTGGCCAACCCCTGGACATCCTACAGTTCCTGATAACTTTATTACTTTAGCCACCCCAAGTCACAGTAGAGTACAAGACTACCCCCTTTGTTCTGGCTGAATAATGTCCCACTGTGTATATGTGACACCTTTTCTTTCCCCATTGATGGTTGCTTTAAGACATTACATGGGTTTTCTGCAGCTGATGGGAAAGCAAGGCTTCAGCGATGGGTGAGCAAGAATTCTGGTACCTTTAGGATCTGTCATCCAGTTAACACACACTAACAACATGCTCACGGCCAAGACACAATGCCTAGTGATCATGTGCCTGCACAAGACACCTCCGCTTTTCAAAATGTTAGTGTCAGACAGGGTGATGTTTGAAAACGCCCTGAAATGAGGAATCGCTACTCCCACACATCGCCCACTGGAGGGCGTTGGGGGTGAGGAATGGGTGTCAATTTAAAGTACATAGGTATTTCTCATCACAGGGTCTTCGAGACAGTAGAGAAGGCAGCCAGCCACAAGAAGCCATCTTTAACAGGGTAGTGTGGGGTGGGGAAAACAGAAGCCCCAATTATACACCCCTCACATTTCTCAGAACTGCTGAAATCACCTGCCAAGATTTCTCTGGTTACTTGGGAGCTTTGAGGCCAATGAGGAATCTCATTGGTCAAGGCTCCGGAAGAGTTTAAGATACAGACCAATGAAAAACAGGCAATCTGGAGGGCCTGTACTACACGCATGCGCAATGCAGTTTGGCCTTTTAAGGAAGAGCGGCTCTTGAGATCCCAGCACCCGGTACTGGTTCTTGGTTTTACCCTGGCAACCCAATCTTCCCAGTTCATCCAGAGGACATGGACACCTCTTAAGCTGACCCCACCCTCCCACTGCAGTGTGAAAAAGAGAAAAATGGGCCAGAGTCCCCTTCAGGCCGTACAAGTCTTAGTCGTATTTCTGAGTGCCAAATGCCCCCCAGAGCCAGGCTGTCAGCATGGCCCAGCTGTTGAGCCCATGTGCTCTCTATTTCCAGTTTAGAACGCTTAAAGCCCTGGTTCCAGTTATAAGGGGCTTCGGGCTGAGAGGAAGGGGTGAGCCGGGTGACCCAACCGTGTTGCTTTGCTTGAACTCCACCTGACCACGCTCTCTCCACAGAGACGGAACCTAATAGCCTGGGTCATGCACGCTGCCGCCCCGAGCAGGCTTCTCTTGGCCTGTAGCCTCGCCTTCATGCCCTTCTCGACAGGTGAGGGTGAGATGGAGCCTTCCTGAACCCCCAGCGCATCGCAGCTTGCATTTCTATATCCTCCATATCCCTGCACCTACATTTTCTTCCCCATTCCCTATCCCACTCCAGCTTACATTCATTCCCACGTCTCCATCCCCAACAGCCGTGTCCTCTGCAGTCCCAACGCATGCCGGCACCGGCACCGCCACCACCACCGCCACCAGCTTCTCTTGCACTGGTCTCTGCCTGGCACCCGCGGTGAACTAGCACACGTGGTTTGTGCCCGAAGATCGGGTGCATCTGCTCGGCAGTGCTATGGACAGGGTCCCGAGTGTCCTCTCCTGACTGCCTGACTTGGGAAAACAGCTGAGCCTAGCTGCATCCTGTGTGCCTTCTAGAGAGTTAGGGATGTGGTTTCAGCCCCTTGGGACTGTGAGGAATGCGTGAGCTCAGACTAACACACCCACTAAGTTCTCAGAGCTTTTCACTTGTTTCCTACAAGTGACATCATCATGCTGAGGGAATGTAAAGTGTAAGGTGTAAGGCTTCTGGTGAAGTACTTCTGCATCTTTACTGTTTCCCCGAGAACTGGGCGCACTGTGTAAGCAGCCTCTACCAGGTTAGTCCCAGCACGAAGGGTTCTGGATTCGGCTTGAGGCCTAGTCACATGGTTAGTGCAGTATGATGATTTATGTGTTTATTTTGTTGTTGTTATTGTTGAATCCAGACTGATCTCAATCTCAGAGAAATCCCCTGGCCTCATCCCACATGTTGGAATCACAGATATGAGCCACATTTATTTTTAAAGCAAGTTCTCTCTCTCTCTCTCTGTATGTGTGTGTGTGTGTGTGTGTCTCTGTGTCTCTGTTTCTCTCTCTCTATCTCTCTCTCTTTGTCTCTGTGTGTGTGTCTGTGTCTCTGTGTCTCTGTCTCTCTCTGTCTATCTCTCTCTCTTTGTCTCTCTGTCTCTGTGTGTGTGTCTCTGTGTCTCTGTCTCTCTCTGTCTCTCTCTGTCTCTCTCTGTCTCCCTCTCTATCTCTCTCTCTTTGTCTCTCTGTCTGTGTGTGTGTGTGTGTTTATGTGTGTGTGTTGAACCTAGGACCTCATATGTCAGATAATCACACTGCCACTGAGCAACTCCTAACTTCTTGTGGGGAGCTGAAGCCTTGAGTGGATGTGTAAATAGCAGATGGAGTACTGAGTGAATGTGTATCATTAACATGGGTATGGCCATGTCAAGACCAATGCCACAGACCCATGGGAAATTAGCAAAGCCTTCCCTCTCGGGCTCAGAGGATGGCAAAGCCTTCCACTGGCCCCAGTGCAAAGTGCAGGATATTGGCAGTGTGTCCAAAGACTAGCAACTGCAGCTTCCTCCTTCCAGATGTCAGCATCCTCTCCCCTACAGAGATTAGCTATCTCCTCCCCTCCATGCTGTCAGTGATAAACATGTTGAGCTTCTGGGTTGCTATGTAGTTGGTGGGGCTCCATCGGGACACACACAGCCCACCTGACCCCAGCTTTCCTGTATGTGTGTCTGTCCTTTCTTCATTCCCTTGCCTCAGTCAGATCAAAGCATCAAGTCATGGGAGATACCCTAACCCTGCCCCCTTAATCATTTGCATATTCATTTCCCTCTTGGTGGCAGATCCTCCCAAGCCAGCCACACAGTCACTCAGCCCAGTAATTCGATGATCAGGGGCTCATGTGCACCCTCCTAATTTTCATTTTCCCACAGTCTGTAAGTTCTCATTTCCTTGGCAGGTAAAGAGAGAGATGACTGGCCATGCACACGCCAGCTACCCCTTCTTTGCACTCACCCTAGTGTTGGTCCACCGCCACGGTGAAAACAGTCATCAGGAAGAGTTGTCAAGCAGTCAACTTAGGATGCTTCTATAAGCAAAATACCAGCAGAGTTTTGTTAGCAGAGATTTAGGGCAAAGTCTACATCTCCAGCAGCCTCAGTGAGCTCAGCCAAGTGCCCCAGGGCTATAATTGAAAGAACAAAAGAGCAAAAAGCAAAAGTGTTGATGCAGACTGGTTGATACCTAATCGAGGTCGGGAGAGGCTGTGGAGGCTCCACTGGGCTCATCCTCATGGTTCTTGAGCCTCAGCTCATGCGATAACAGAGTCAAAGAGAGTTAGAGGAAGAGGGCCAAGAGCAGTTCCGCAGATGGCACTGGCTTTCTCCTTCCCCCTGCACCGGCTCTGCTTCTCCAGTTACAGCTCCTGTCACTCTCTGCTCTGCCCAGGATGTCTCCCCCTAGAGTAGCCAAGTCCTGTCATAACCAGTGACAGTCATGGGGACGCCTGGGTAGACACAGATTGGCTACCTTACATTTGAGGAGAGGTTCAGAGGCAGGGAATGCAGTAGAAACAGGCCCCACCTTGTCAGTTGGGCCCATTCTGAGGGCACCCTGTGATTCCAAGGTCGAATCCTTCTAAGCAACCTCCCCCGGGACTCCACTCAAAATACCCCCGTTCACTGAGGGTTTCCCTGACCCCTATGCACTGCAACCCTGCCCTGAACTCCGGCATTTATTACCATTACAGATGCCATGTCTCCCTCATCAGTGAGCATGCTCTGTGAAGTCTGGGAGTTATGTGGTAGCTCTAGTGTGCCCTTGAGGATTTAGAAAGTGCCACTTGAAGATCAGGGCACTGATTGGGAAGGACCAGTCCAAGAGGCTGCAGCTCTTTGGGCATCTGTATTTCTCTTGCCTGTGACCAGTTTTCTGTCTTGTCTTGCCCGCCTGCTCACAGTCTCCTGGGAAATTACAATGAGTGACCTAGAGGAGAAGGATGTGGATGAGTTCAACTCCAGCGGTCTCAAGTGTCCCACATGCTTCGCGGTGAAGAAGAGAGAGTGCATGCCAGAGCTCAGGTGGTGCTCAGTGGACAAGATAAAGTGTATGGAGTTCTCCGGCATCATAGATACAGGTGCTTTCCTTGCCTGAGACCCTGTGTAGCCAGATGAGAAGTGCTCTTTCATAAGTATGAGGGGTGTGTGCCTCACAGTGAGACTGAGACAGCCGCTTCTGTTCTGTGGAGCACAGCAGTGTTCTGGATTTCCAGAATAAGGGAATAAGCTCAATTCACCATCTCCTGCACACTCTTGAATTTGTACATGCATCCATTGCCAGAGTCTCCCTGGCTTCTCAAATGTTCTCAGGTGTTGTTCCACATTTTGAATGAAACTTCACCCCCTAAAAATACTGTGATTAGTTTTCAAAGCACAAGGTGGTTTTTGTGACAATCCCCCCCAACACCACACACACACACACACACACACACACACACACACACACACACACTTTCAAAGTCT